CAAAAAGTACAGGGGACTGTCACATTTTAAAAATGGATGGGAAAGCTCTTAGATTTCTCTGTACTGCTGGCACACTCCCAGAGTAAAATGCCTTCCAAAAATGTGAAGCCAAGCCTCTTTGATCACAAAGCCTCAAGGTGTTGGAGGCAGATAAAATGTCAATATGGTTGGTGGGTTTATACTTATATAAAATGGCAAATAAAAAGGAGACATCATTAATTCATTAAACAATTTATCTTATATTGGTCTTCTAAGACTTTCCAAAGAAAGAAAACACTTTTAAACTCAATTCCCCAGTACAGAGGTGAACATATCTCCCCCAAACCAAACTTTAGATGGAATCTCTGAAGCCTACTCTTCCTCCACAGACCACTGTAACTCCTTATTTACCTTTACTGTGACAGTGCATCCAAAATCCAGATGACCCAAGATGATCTAGATAACTGTCTAGAGGAATGAAACTTTTGTGGAATGCCAGTTGTCTCATCCAACTTTCCATTATTCCCTGTTTATTTACACATTGTGTGTATTATCTAGTTCTCCTTCTACCCTGGGTTCCTGGTCATTTTTCAAATTTTTGGCTTTCAATTTAGATTTACAGAAAAGTTGCAATGATAGAAGATGGTGTTCCTGTCTATTCTTCACTCAATTTTCTCTAATGTTAACATCTTACCACAGAACATTGTCAAAACTAAGACATTAATATTGGTATAATACTATTTACTAAAATGCAGCTTTATTTAGATTTCACCAGTGTTTCAACTAATGTTCTTTTTCTGTTGCAGAAGCCAGTATGGGATACCACATTACATTTAGTCATATGGTTTTTCTGTCTCCTCCATCTGTGACAGCTTCTTATTCTTTTCTTATGGTTGTTTTTAATGACCTTCCAGTTTAAAGACTACCCTTCAGTGATTTTGTAGAATGCCTTTCAGTTTGTGTTTATCTGATGTTTTCTTATGATTTGGAGTTATAGGTTTGTGGCAAGAATACCACAAAGGTGAAGAGTCTTCCTCAATCACCTCAGAAGGTACATGATATTGAGACAGAGACAAGATGGTAGAATAGAAAGATCTTGAACTTACCTCCTCTCATGAGCACTCCAAAATCATAGCTAACTATTGAATAACTATCAATTAAAGAGACTGAGAAATTGGTTCAAGATGGCAGGGTGGAAGGACATGCACTGATCTGTGAGAGCACTCAAATTGCAACTAGCTGTTGAACAACTATTGACAGGAAGACACTAGAACCCACCCAAAACAGGTACACGTGTCTAAAGACAAAAGAGGCTAAATAATATGCTATGAAACAACCCAAATGAATCACAGAGGAAATCAAGGAGGAAATTTAAAAAATACCTAGAGACAAATGAAAGCAAAAACACAGAAAAAAAACCTATGGAATGCATAAAAAGCAGTTCTAAGAGGGAGCTTTATAGTGATACATAATTGTCTGAGAAAACAAGAAAAATCTGAAATAGACAACCTAACCTTAAACCTGAAGCAGCTGGAGAAAAAAGAACAAACAACACACAAAGTTAGTAGAAGGAAAGAAATCATAAAGATAGAGCAGAAATAAAGACAAAGAAAACAATAGAAAAGATCAATGAAATGAAAAGCTAGTTCTTTGGGGAAAAAAAAATTCATAACCCTCTACCCGCTAGATCATCAAGAAAAAAGGGAAAGGGCCCAAATCAGTATAATTAGAAATGAAAAAGGAGAGGTTACAATTGACACCACAGAAATACAAAGGATCATAATAGACTACTACAAGCCACTATATGTTGATAAAATGGGCAACCTAGAAGAAATGGAAAAATTCTTAAAAAGGGAGAATTTCCCAAGAATGAACCAAGAAGAAATAAAAAATATGAGCAGACCAGTTACAAGTACTGAAATTGAATTTGTGGTTTAAAAACTCCCAACAAACAAAAGTCCAGGACCAGATGGCATCACAGGTGAATTCCATCAAACATTTAGAGAAGAGCTAACACCTAATTTTCTGAAACTCTTCCAAAAAGTTGCAGAGGAAAAAGCACTTCCAAACTCATTCTATGAGGCCGCCACCACCCGGATACCAAAACCAGAGAAAGATACCACAAAAAAGAAAACTATAGGCCAATATCACTGATGAATGTAGATGCAAAAATCCTCAATAAAATGCTAACAAACTGAATACAACCATATATTAAAAGGATTATACATCATGATCAAGTGGGATTTATCCCAGAGATGCAAGGATTTTCATTATCCACAAATCAATCAGTTTGATATACCACATTAACAAACAGAAGGATAAAAGCAGTGTGATCACCTCGATAGATGCAGAAAAAGTTTTTTGATGAAATATAACATCCATTTATGATTTAAAAAAAAAACTCTCCAGAAAGTGGAATAGGGAGAACCTACCTTAACTTAATAAAGGCCATATATGACAAATCCACTCATCATACTCAATGTGAAAAACTGAAAGCATGTCCTCTAAGATTAGGAACAAGGCAAGGATGTCCACTCTTACCACTTTTATTGAGTATAAAAAGAAATAAAAAGTGATCTAAATTGGAAAAGAAGTAAAACTCACTATTTGCAAATGATATGGTACTACACATAGAAAATCCTAAAGATGCTACCAGAAAACTGCTACAGCTCATCTCTGAATTCAGCAAAATTGCAGGATAAAAATTTAATATACAGAAATGTGTTGAATTTCTAGACACTAACAACAAACAATCAAGAGAAATTAAGTAAACAATCCCATACCTAGAAGAAATGCTTAGGAATAAACCTACCTAAGGAGGCAAAAAACCTGTACTCTGAAAAGTGCAGATGAAAGAAATGCTGATGTAAGAAATCCAAGATGACACAAACAGATGGAAAGATGTGTTCTTGGATTGGAAGAACTGATATTGTCTAAATGACCATGCTACCCAAGGCAATCTACAATTCAATGCCATTTATATCAAATTACCAGTGGCATTTTTCACAGAACTAGAATTGAAAAAGTTTTTTAATTTTATGGAAACAGAAAAGGCCCTGAGGAGCTAAAGCACTATTGGGAAAGAAAAACAGAGCTGGAGGAATAAGGCTCCCTGATTTCAGACTATACTACAAAGCTACAGTCATCAAAATAGTATGGAACTGGCAGAGAAATAGAAACATATATCAATGAAACAGGACAGAATGCCCAGAGATAAACCTATGCACTTATCGTCTATTAATACATGACAAAGGAGGCAAGACTATGCAATGGAGAGAAAACAACCTCTTCAATAAGTGGTGCTGATAAGCAGACATTTCTCCAAAGAAGACATACTAACGGCCAATAAACACACGAAAAGGTGTTCAGTATCGCTCATTATTAGAGAAACGCAAATCAAAACCACAGAGAGGTATCACATCACACCAATCAGAGTGGTCATCATCAAAAAATCTACAAACAGTTCATGCTGGAGAGGATGTGGAGAAAAGGGAACCCTCCTGCACTGTTGGCTGGAATGTAAACTGATACAGCATTATGGAAAACAGTATGGAAGTTCCTTAAAAAACCAGGAATAAATCTACCATATGACCAACAATCTGACTACCAGGCATATACCCTGAGTAAACCACAATTCAGAAAGACGCATGAACCCAAATGTTCATTGTAGCACAATTTACAATAGCCAGGACATGGAAGCAATCTAGATGTCCATCAACAGATGAATGGATAAAGAAGATGTACTACATATATACAATTAAATATTACTCAGCCATAAAAAGGAATTAATTTGAGTCACTTGTTATGAATAAACCTAGAGCCTGTTATACAGAGTGAAATAAGTCAGAAAGACAAACATCGTGTATTAATGCATATATGTGGAATCTAGAAAATTGGTACTGATGGACCTATTTGCAGGGAAGGAATGGCAACACAGACATAGAAAATGTACTTGTGGTCACAGTGGGGGAAAGAGAGGGTGGGATTAACTGAGAAAGCAGCACTGACATATATACAGTGTCATGCATAAAACAGACAGCTGTGGGAAGCTGCTGTATAACACAGGGAGCCCAGCCTGATGCTCTGTGGTGACCTAGTGGATGGGATGGCCGGAGAGCAATGAGGCTCAAGAGGGAAGGATGATATATGTATTTTTATATATATATATATATATATATATATATACAATTATGACTGATTCTCATAGTTGTACAGTAGAAACCAACACAACATTGTAAAGCAGTTTTCCTCCGATTTAAAAAACAAGTGGTGCTGGGAAAACTGGACAGCTGCGTGTAAAAGAATGAAATTAGAACATTCTCTAACACCATACATAAATGTAAACTCAACATGGAATGAAGACTTAAATGTAAAACTGGGACATTATAAAACTTCCAGAGGAAAATATAGGCAGGACACTGTTTGAAATAAATTACAGTAATGTCTTCTTTGAGCAATCTTCTAGAGTAATGGAAATGACAACAAAAGTAAACAAATGGGACCTAATTAAACTTGAAGACTTCTGCATGGCATAGGAAACCATAAACAAAATGAAAAGACAACCAACAGAATGGGAGAAAGTATTTGCAAATGATGCAGCTGAGAAGGGATTAATCTCTAAAATATACAAACAGCTCATATAGCTCAATATCAACAAAAACACCCCAATAAAAAAATGGCAGATGATCTAAACAGACATTTCTCCAAAGAAGACATGTGTGTGTGTATGTGTGCTAAGTTGCTTCAGTCATGTCCATCTCTTTGTGACTCTATGGGCTATAGTCTGCCAGGCTCCTCTGTCCATGGGATTCTTCAGGCAAGAATACTGGAGTGGGTTTTTGCCTTCCTCCAGGGGATCTTCCCAACCTAGGGATCAAACTCCCTTCTTCTGCATTGCCTGCTTTGGCAGGTGGGTTCTTTACAACTAGCACCACCCAAGAAGCCCTAAAGAAGACACAGAGATGGCTAAAAGGTACATGAAGAGATGCTCAACGTCACTAATTATTAGAGAAATGCAAATCAAAGCTATAAAGAGGTATCACCTCACACCAGTCAGAATGGCCATCATCAAAAAGTCACTTCAGGGGTCTCTGAAGCATCACATATTTGCTCAAAGCCAGCTCCTCCTGTCTTCCCAGCATATTACAATGCCTTCCACCTATGTGAGAATGTTTCTTTCTGGCTGGGCTAGGGGTTGCTTCCCCAAGCTACTGAAAACATCAGACTGAGCTGCCAAAGAATGCTGCAGTTCCTATACCTCTGGCTGACTTTTTGCAGTGGTGCCATATTCCAAGAACAAGTAGGCTGACAGCTCCCTCCTTCACATTTCTGTGCCAAAGTAAGTCATTTGGATCCCAAAGAGCTCTGCTTGGGCTCCCGGTCTTACCCTCTAGAAAAATAGCTCTTTTTAGTGACTTTGCACCACTGATCTCTTCCATCAGGGAGGTGAGTTTGGCGGGTCAGGCTGGGGACAGCTCACATTTTTCCTAGCATCCCAGCCTATGTCCCCTACCCTGCCTCTCAGAGACCTTGATAGTAAAGGCTCTCTTCGGATAGGCTTTTTCTAACAAACCATTCAGGAAAATATTATGTTGGCCAAAAAATTGGTTCAGGTTTTTCTGTAACATCTTATGGAAAAACCCAAACAAGCTTTTTGGCCAACCCAATAGCTTTGAGAGGAACACTGGGATGGTGAGTTTTATCCAGAACCACCAACACAATTTCAGCTGAAGTCTGACTCATCTGGGACCATCCCAAAGAAATGCAATGATTTAAATGCATTTCTTAAACCTTAAAGTGCTTAAAGATGTTTATAATCATCATTACATATATATAGTATCCATGCTACAGTGTGAGCTGCCTTCAGGAAGCTAGAATGCCAATACCATGGAGTTAAGATGGTGGGAATTTCAGGGCCTGTGCAAGGCCTTGAATCACACCACATGAAAGCCTCTTCCTCAGTGCACTTCCCTGCTGCACCTGATCCTACCGCTCCGTCTCTCTTTAAGCAACAACTCTTTCTGAATACAGTTTGATTCCTGCTAGAGGCTATGTTGACCTAGTAGATCAGATGCAACCAACTGGACACAGAGAAGGGAGCAACCAGATCCTTTTCAGGCTGTGCGAAAATGCATTTTAAGTAGTGAAGGCAAGCAAGATAGAAGAACTGGCTTCACATCCTTCCCACAACCCTGAGGAGCCCTCTGATGGCTCACTCCCCAGGAATGCAGAGCTTAGCTGACGGGCCTGCAGTGGTCTAGGTGTGGAGGACAACTGCCTGACATTGATTTCTGACACAGAGACCAGAACTAAAACAGAAGGTGCTTGACCCCAGGTCTCCTGAGGCTGCCTGAGAGAGGCAGGACAAGAGCCGGGCATCTGCCAAAATACTCTCCTTTGACTGTCCTCCCCACTCTCAGCCTCTGCCTTCAGCTCTCCTGGTGAACACTGGCCTAATTAGAAGCTTACCAATGAAAGAATGGGAAGCTCAATCAAGGACCTGAGGCCCAGAACTCAATCAAGGTGGGAGGTGGCCTAAAGGGGATGTTAGAAGGGGTCAGCCTCGGCTGTTCCAAGCTCTCCTTTGATGTCTAAGAGGGGTTGTCCACTCAATGTCCACCGCACAGCAGACCTTCATGGTGGCCTGCTTGTTCTCACCTTACAATGGCTCTGAGAGTTTTCGGGTGGGGGGGGGTGTAGAGGAGTTCTGGCCCTGGAAGCCACAAACAGCTGCCACCCTGTACACAGGGGCACAAGTGAATGAGGCCACTGCCCATGGCCAAGACTTGCCTCACTGCTGTCGGCACAACCCACTGACAAAGCCCTGGCCCTAAAGGAAGAACAGATGCTCCTCGTGGAAAAGATGACCCTGCTTTCACCTCGCTCTGTCATTCTTCGTTGCTTCTCTGCAGAGGATGCACAGGACAACCCATTCAGTGGGTTACTTGTCACGCAGTTGAAACGCCTCCACTTCCCTTCCCACACAGAAAAGCAAGTTGTTCTGTAAGAGATTGAGAGCTATGTTATTTTAGGTTTAGCTTTGAATCTTCAGAACACTTAACTTTGAATACTTAGGCACTAAAATTCAGTTATTCTCCAACTTTGCTATTTATTTGCTACAAGTACTTTGCAAAACAACTTCTAAGAGTGGATTACAAGAGTGTGACCAAGAAGACTGTCCTGGAGAGAGAGCAACCTGTTGGGAAGGAAAGGGAGAGTCCTGTGTATAAAAGACGGTCAATGCATAAGGAAGTTGTGGTACATACACACAACAGAATATTACTCAGCTTTGAAAAGGAACACATTTGAGTCAGTTCTAATGAGGTGGATGAACCTGGAGCCTGTTATATAGAGGGACGTGAGTCAGAAACAGAAAGACAAATTCTGTATATTAACGCATATGTATGGAATTTAGAAAGATGGCACCAACAGTCGTACATGCAGGGCAGTAAAGGAGATACAGATGTAAAGAACAGACTGTTGGACTCAGTGGGAGAAGACAAGGGTGGGATGTTTTGAGAGAATAGCATTGAAACATGTAAATTACCATATGTAAAACAGATGACCAGTGCAAGTTTGATCCATAAAGCAGGGTACCCAAAGCCGCTGCCCTGGGACAATCCAGAGGGATATGGTGGGGAGGGAGGTGGGAGTGCGGTTCAGGATGGGGGGGACACATGTGCACCTGTGGCCAATTCATGTTGATGTGTGGCAACAACCATCACAATATTATAAGTAATTATCCTCCAATTAAAATAAATAATTAAAAAAATTTCTGTACCTTCCCTTCCTTTCTTTTACCCTCAATCATAGTCTTTGATCCAGGTCTGCCTCTCCAAAAATGTAGAAAGGCCAAGGAAAGGACCAAGAGGAATCTTTGCTTCTGACTTGAAAAAAACAAATTCAGGATGCCTTAAAAACTAGAAATAAGATGTTGAAGAAAACAGTGAGTCTTAAGTGCGTCACTTAACTGAGCATTATGCCACATAACTAGCCTGTATAATATTTTTGGAATCTTTGGAGAGAATGGAGAAACAGCTGTTAGCATCCTTTTTGAGAAGTTTCACAGGGGATTACCTAGGATCTCCCTATTCTAATCATAGTGATGTTTTCACTAGGTTCTACCCAGAGAAGATGTTTCCCACAACCAAGTAGGCAGTATCCCTTTGGGAGATAGTAATGTATATAAAATGGATGTTGAAACTTCAAATATGGGATAAATAATGCAGATGATTTAAATGGTCTTGCTATTTGGTGGCAGAATGACTCAGACTCACATCAGAAAATAGTCAAGTAGAAAAAATCCAGATGGGTTTTAAAGGAGTGATGGAAAATATCTGGCTGCTAATCATCCCTAATTCACCTCCTACTCCTTCTGGAGCAAAAGAGAGTCTGAAGCTCCACTAGTACTGTGAATGAAAAACAATTCTGGAAACAAAATTAGCCTGACTCAGAGCAGTCTGGAAGGTGGGCTGGCCTGGGATGTTCCCCAGGCTGACCCCATTAACAACAGGAGAGTGAGGAAGCTGCCCACGTGGCTTCTGGTGATGGAGGTGTGGGTAGAGAAAGATCAGCAGATGGGATGCCCACAGACAAGCAGAGAGAGTCACAACAGACAGAAGGGTCTGAACCTGGGAACAGACCTGGATGCTGAGAGTCTGAGGCAGAGGATGGCCTAAAGTAAAGCGGACAGCTCAGCGTTGGGGCACTGGTACCAGAGGCTGAAAGATAGTTAAGAGTAAGTGGAGTAGGCTTCCCTGGTGGCTCAGCTGGTAAAGAATCTGCCTGCAATGCGGGAGACCTGGGTTTGATCCCTGGGTTGTAAGCAGAGTTATAGATTACACTGAATTTACACATACATACACACTCATACACATATGCTCACACCATGAGCTCCTTGAGAACAGAATGACTCTCCCTCTTCATTCCCAGCACCTTACAACAGTGCCAGGTAGCAGGTGCTCACTGAGGGCTTTGGAATTGAAAGTTCAGAAGTGAGGTCACATGGCAGTTGAGTTTGGGAAGGCATAGATGCAGGCATTAAGTCAGCACAATGGGCTATCAGTCTAAGCTGGCTTTGAGGGATAAGCTAGGAATCAGAGGGAACAGAAGCATTGCAGGCAGAAGCAGGATTAGAAATCTTAGCAGCCAGTCCAGGCAGCTGAGATGCAGCTTTGGCCATAAGGAGCTCTCAAAATTTGAAACATCTTTCAGCAAGAGGCACTCTAGCACTGTGTGGAAGAGTACAGGGCTGGGATCAGGATTCCTGTACTTGTGTGCCTGCCTGTTGCTAACCAATTGAGATGGCGGGGCTACTTACCGATTCTCTTAATGCTCAATTTCCTCACCTGTAAGATGAGAAAATAATAATTAGTACAGAGAGTTGTTGTGAGGACTAAACTTACATGTTAAGTGTTTAGAGCAGTGCCTAGAATATAATAAATACTCAATAAACATTCAGTGAAGTCATTCAGTCATGCCTGACTCTACGACCCCATGGACTATAGCCTGCCAGGCTCCTGCATCTGTGGGATTTTCCAGGCAAGAATACTGGAGTGGGTTGCCATTTCCTTCTGCAGGGGATCTTCCTGACCCAGGGATTGAACCCAGGTCTCCCGCCTTGCAGGTAGACTCAACCGTTTGAGCCACCAGGTTATCCCCAATAAACATTAGTGATCACTATTATTGATTATTCTTCTCCTCTATCCAGAAAATTTCCATGTGCTTTTTGACAGTGTAGGATGAGGCCCAGGACTCAGACTATCCATAACTCCGTTGGGAACATTGACTGACCTGCCCCCAAGTGTCTGTCCTTCACTTTGCTGCTTGCATACTTCAAGACATCACTTTTTTTTTTTTTTTGCATGGACCACTGCAGTAGTTTGCCACTCTGCTTTTAGTCTCAGCCTTATCCAGCTAAAAGTGATCTTTCTAAAATCTAACCAGATCATCTCACTTGTCTGCCTCATATCCTTCATGAGTTCTCTCAGGATTCTTTGGGTTTCCTTTCCTAAAAAGGATAAGAGAGCTCTATGGAGAAATAGCTGATTCTAGGACTTGGGCAGGAAATATATAAAAATAACCCAGAACATTTTGAAGCATCAGAAAGTAAGGAAGTGCTCAAACAAATGAAAAACCCTGCAAGGATGGAAGTATGTCAGAGAGACACAGGCACCAACATAAAAGAGCTCTTAATGGCCAAAACTGGGATAATCCGAATGACAAAATAAATAGCTTTGAATTATAACTGAAAGTACAAAATAAATATCCATGAGTTCATATTAATATAAGAAAATGATAGAATGAAAGCAGCAAACAATCATTGTTTCTAGAAACAGAGACTTTATTTTGGGGGGCTCTAAAATCACTGCAGATGGTGACTGTAGCCATGAAATTAAAAGACGCTTGCTCCTTGGAAGAAAAGCTATGACAAACTTAGCATATTAAAAAGCAGAGACATTACTTTGCCAACAAAAGTCCGTCTAGTCAAGGCTGTAGTTTTTCCAGTAGTCATGTATGGATGTGAGAGTTGGACTATAAAAGCAAGCTGAGCACCAAAGAATTGATGCTTTTGAACTGTGGTGTCGAAGAAGACTCTTGAGAGTCCTAGTCCATCCTAAAGGAAATCAGTTGCGGATATTCATTGGAAGGACTGATGCTGAACTTGAAACTCCAATACTTTGGCCACCTGATGTGAAGAACTGACTCATTGGAAAAGACCCTGATGCTGGGTAAGATTGAAGGCAGGAAGAGAAGGGGATGACAGAGGATGAGATGGTTGGATGGCTTCACTGACTCGATGGACATGAATTTGAGCAAGCCCTGGGAGTTGGTGATGGACAGGGAAGCCTGGTGTGCTTCAGTCCATGGGGTCGCAAAGAGTCAGTCGTGACTGATCGACTGAACTGAAATGACAGAATAAATAAATGCTGGAGAAGAGACCAATTTTACCTGCAGAAGAATTCAAAATAAATTATTTAGCTACTTCATTCTTGAGAAGGTAGCATAACTCCTCACTCCTAGGCATGGGCTGTGCCTGGCAACTTCCCTCCACAGTGTATAGTATAATAAGAGGGAAAATCGAGTGACTTTATAGTGGATAAATTGACACACACTGTCTCCTCCAGGTGACTAAGATCAACCTCAATAGTGTAACTCATAAGCGATAAAGTTCCTATGTAAATAGTATGTGCCTTTGATGTAATAAGAATGGCACTTCCCTGGGGTTTTCCTCTCACAACTAATAACACCAGTCCAGTCATGAGAAAAGCATCAAACAAACACAATAGATGGCCATTCTACAAAATACCTAACCAGGATTTTCCAAAACTGTCAAGTTCATTAAAAAGAAAGTCTGATAAATTATCACAGCCAAGAACAATCTAAGAACACATAACATACCCTGGATGGGATCCTGGAACAGAAACAGAGCATTAGGTAAAACTGAGGAAATCTGAGTTAAGTATTGACTTTAGTTAATAACAACGTTTCAGTACTGGTTCATCAATTGGGACACATCTATCCTCTTAATGTAAGATGTTAACAATAGGGGAAATTGAGTGTGGAACTCTCTGTGCAATTTTCACAATTTTGTGTAAATCTAAAAGTTTTCTTGTAGCTCAGTTGGTAAAGAATCTGCCTGAAATGCAGGAGACCTGGTTTCAATTCCTGGGTCGGGAAGATCCCCTCTAGAAGGAAACGGCAACCCACTCCAGTATTCTTGCCTGGAGAATCCTATGGCAGAGGAGCCTGGCAGGTTTTATAGTCCGTGGGGTCATAACAGTTGGACCTGACTTAGTGACTAAACCACCACCACCACCACTTCTCTAAAATTTAAAGTTCATTAAAATTAAAGAAAAAAAAATAGAAGAGAATCAAAAGACAAATTTTACCTGTTTCAGAATTCTGGTAGGCTCAGTCACCATTAGACCAAGCCCACTCCCAAATCAGCAGCAGCATCTCACCTCCCCATTGTTGTCCAGTCGCTAAGCTGTGGCAGACTCTTTGTGACCCCAGAGACTGCATCATGGCAGGCTTCCCTGTCCTTCACTATCTCCTGGAATTTGCTCAAACTCATGTCCATTGAGCCGGTGATGCCATCCAACCATCTCATCCATTCTGTCACACCCTCTTCCTCCTGCCTTTGACCATAGGCACACTCAAACTCTTGAATTTTTCAGAAAGACGACAACACTGGCTGCCTCACATTCTCCACGTAGAACACAGAAAGCACTGAGTCGTTGTGCCATTCTGTGCATCTGGGCACAGGAGTGATGGACTTCTTAGGCTCTGGAATGAGGCCGGTTGGCTCCGCCATGAACTCAGGCACATTCCCGATCTTCTGTGAACCTTATCTATAAAATGATAAAATAATAATATATAGCAAATAGAGTTATTGAGATATAAAGAGACAGTGTATAAACATTCTTAACATAGCTCCTGGCAGATTATGATTATGGAGTATTATCACCTCATTCTTCCCAGACTTTGAGTAGAGTCCAGGGAACCAACTCTATATGCAGGAAAGAAACCATACCTGCTCTCTAGAAGTTTCTTGGTAAAACCAAAGTGGACAGATATCACAGTAGTTAGACTGCATATCAGGCTGCGAGTTGTCTGAGGAACTTGGCCAGAGCTAGCAGCCGAGCCCAAGCTGCAGTTTATTATGGAGCTGCTTCCAGAGGCTGTACATTTGGAAGGGACACCACACAAATGTTAAGGCTGAACATTTACCCCAAGGCAACTCACTTGGCCATTCTCTGACTGGATTGATTTCCACGGAATCAGGAAGCTCTGTCTGAATGTGTTCCAGCCAATTTTCAGCTTACACAATGGTTACAATCAGATCCAAACTGGTTTGAGCAGAATTTGCTGGTAGTATGTCATGAGACTGCAGAGCCAATTCTTTATTACTCCAATAAATCTCAACATACAGCAACTGCAGTTTTACCAGCAACCAGTTGTGTTTTTGTAATTTTAACACAGTAGCAATTGAGTGTGTCTGGTGTGATGTGTTCCCACCATTTTGAGATCACTCTGCTGACTGAGCATAATTTCATTCTCCCCACTGACGTTCACCCAGGTTCTCCTTTATGACTGCTTGGCTCTTTGACCAGGTAAAGATGCCAGTGAAAGAGGACTCGTTGCTGGCATCACTCTCTTTCCTTTCTGAGGACCAGGAGGCAACTCTCTGTCTCCATCCAGCTGGGCAATTTCTTGGCAGAGTGGAGAAACTCCTAAAATGCCAGATCCTGAGGCTGTTTCTAGCTGTGGCAGGCCCCTGCTTATGCCTCTCAGAAAGGTACACAAGAGAAGATCTCCCTTGGGCTGTAAGGAAAAGGCCAAGCCATCATCTAGGCTGCCAGGCAATCCTGTCTTCTTCTAGAACTTTGGCACGTACCAATTTCTTTAAAATTAAGAATTATGTGTTCTACTGAACATGGTCAGTCCCTTTTAATCCATTGTCTATCGGTCTATATGTATGTATTCTGCCTCAATTGTGTTTAGCATGATGGTAAGAAGCTTAGATTATCCTCAGAAGCAGAATTTATAATATGTCTCCTTTTTTCTCTCAGCACTATCTTTCCTATTTTAGGTGTCTCATAATTTTCACAATAGTTTCAACATTTTATATTTTAAGGTTTTGTGTTTCTCTTTCCTTTTATTTCTTTCACATTATATAATTAGCCCTGTATTCATAGGGGAAGTAAAAAATGAATTAAACAGTTAATCTGATAATTTTAATTAAAGCACAAAAACAATTTGGGTCCTTCTTGCTAAAGGAAAATTTCTAGTAAGAATTTCTTACTCTCTGCACTCCATTATAAATAGTTGATTAATTCTATTCTCAGCCACCAGGGGAAAGGTAACTAATGTTTACAGAATGCCTACTGTATGCCAGCTAGTCTGCCAGTGCTTTACAGGCATCATTTTATTTGGAGTAGAGAGAGATTAATTACAGTCATCATAATTGGCAATTTCTTTGGTTTTCAGGCAGTTCAATTTCACATTTCTCTGAATACACTCACAAGAATGAAACATCTGTTTGATGAATTAATACATGACCTTCATGAGGGTAGTAGTCTCCCATTGAATTTAGCATTTTTGTATATTAGACTCAGAGTTGTTGAATTAAATATAAAGTCTCAATATTGAACCCTTATATCTACCCATCTCTGTGTATATTGATGTAAAGAAATCTTATTTTTTAAAAAAGTTAATACTAAAAACTATTCAAAATGAATACAAGTACTTTGGTATGATTTCTGACATTTAGAGCTTCTTTGTCTGGTATTCAGATGTCTTGATAAGAATATAAGAACTAGATCAATATGTGAGTAACTTTAAGGATTAGGTGACAGGTTAACTCACATTAAATAGTTTTGGCTTCAGAAAGTGCCAACTCAAAAGTGAAACTCAAATGACAGCAAAGACTATTTTCTTGGGCTCCAAAATCACTGTGGATGGTGACTGCAGCCATAAAATAAACAGACACTTGCTCCTTGGAAGAAAAACTATGACAAACCTAGACAGAGTATTGAAAAGCTGAGATATTACTTTGCTGACAAAAGTCCATATAGCAAAAGCTATGGTTTTTCCAGTAGTCACATATGGATATGAGAGCTGGACAAAAAAAAAAGGCTGAGCACCAAAGAATTGATGATTTTGAACTATGGTGCTGAAGAAGACTCTTGAGAGTCCTTTGGACTGCAAGGAGATCAAACCAGTCAATTCTAAGGAAATCAACCCTGAATATTCATTGGAAGGACTGATGCTGAAGCTGAAGCTCCAATACTTTAACCACCTGATATGAAGTGCCCACTCATTGGAAAAGACCCTGATGCTGGGAAAGATTGAAGGCAGGAGGAGAAGGGGATAACAGAGGACGAGATGGTTGGATGGCATCACTGACTCAGTGGACATGAAAATGAGCAAACTTCAGAAGATTGTGAAGGACAGGGAAGCCTGGCATGCTGCAGTCCATGGGGTTGCAGAGAGTTGGACATGACTGAGTGACAGAACAACAAAGGCTCTGCCTGCAGAAGCAAAAACAGTCAACTCAAGATTTACCTCATGCAGAGTTAATCTCACCTGCTGATTATACTGTTGGACTCAGGTTATATTACATCACATACACAGAAGAAAATGAAGCATTGGGCCATTCAACCAAAGTGGACGATTGAAAATCCATTGCAGATATAGCATATGATCCGGGGAATGCAAAAGATTAATAAGACAGGGTCCCTTACCTCTTGGAGAGTATAAGACTAGGATAGTTAAATATAAAAGAATGCAAAACTAGGGTCCTATTCAATTTAATGAAGTTTTCCTTTATGTGTATAACTGGTTGAAAACTATCGGAAACTTAACAAGTACTTTTTCAATACTGACTATGTACAAGAAGGCTTATCCTCTTCATCTTTGAACACCTGGGCATACAGTATGCCTGGCAGTTACCAAGTAAGTAATACATTCTGGATGAATTGAAGAATAAACTTATTTACCTGTATGGAAAAAGCTTATGAGGGAGTAAAATGGTAAGACAAATACCTAAAAAACTATAATACTTAGAAAGTGTTGACAAAGCACAGTGTTATGAAAGTTCAGAAGTAGAGAAGATATTAAGTCTAAAATTAGGGTTATAGTTTTGGGAACAGATACTGTGAGTGAATTGTAGGGGAGTGGTGCAAGGTGAGGCTGTCAATGTGAATTATGGCATACAGTGGATTTCTTCTTAGACAACAGGGAATCATGATGGGATTTTAAGAGACAGAACAACCTAATGAGCTGATATTAAAAATAAGCTGGAGAGCTATGTCAAATGGATTGGAGTGGGAAGAAAACAGAGGTGAGAACAGTTAAGGAAGGGCTATTACAATTGTATATATAATAAGAAATGAGAGATGGAACCATGGTGGACAGTAGGGTGGTGAAAAGAAGTAATTTTTCAAATATATGATAAAAGTAACCTCTTTAGATTTTGTCTACTGAATGTCTATGGAATATTGTGTAAGGGAGAGGAAGGATAAATCCAAATTTCAGGATGAGAAGAAGGTGATTTCTTTAAAAGTAGTGTGTGGAATTGGAAAGGAGCAGAGGAGGACATGAAGTCTATATTTTCTGTTAAAGATCAGAAGTTTATAGTAATTCAGTGAAAGGGAATTTTCACTCTGAGCTGGAAAAGTCAGGGATCATGAGAATTTGAGACATGAGGTGAGCTAAATAAAAATGCAAGACAAAATGTTATTGTTTAGAACAGTAAAGAACATCAGACAAGTTGATATATATCTATATCTATTATTAACAGCAATTTTTTAATCCAAGACCACTTGAGTTTATTGAAGCAATTAATTTAGATGTTAGGTCTACACAGTGCCAAACACTGGAATATTTTGTAATAATGCAATAAATTTCAAAGGTTTTGTTTATTTGTTTTATTTTTAATCCAGGAGTTTGAGATCATGTAGTAACAGCTTTAGCATTTGGCTTTCATATTAAAGCTTTTCATATTAAGTTTTCAATCTATTAGAAGATCCATCTGAGCAAGAAAGAATATTAAATGCCATCAATTTAGCCAGAATCTTGTAGGGAGATCATAAATTGCACAAAGATAAACATTTTGGAAAATGTTATTTTCCAAGTTTAAGTCTGCTAGGAAAATTAAGATCACCTACAAATCAAAAGGAAATAAAAATCATTATTTTCATTTTTGAAATTACCACATTTTAAGTTATTTCTAGTGAGGAGGGAAATCTCTTTAAAGTTGGAGAAATAAGTGCAATAATCATAAAATAAGAAAGCAGTAAATCCTTTCTGCTTCATTCTGACACTGATAAACACTAAATCCTGGGGGGGGTGCGGTGGAGTAAAACTTCTTTTGTATCAACAAGATCAACTTTGGCAAAATATCATCATTGGGGTTAGTAATGACATGACAAGGCTGATTTTAAACTTGCATTTTGTTTAATGTTATAGACCAAATTT